GTTCCTGGTTGTGGATTCCGCTCGGGGATTTCCTCCGAATAACAGCACTCCCAATTTTGCGACCGACTCTACCAAAGTATTTTTGGAGTGCTCTCGAGAAACGTTGGATCACTTTGACGCGCCAAGGAAAAAATAAAAGAAAATCAATGACAACAAAAGCCTTCTACCAATGACATTACAGATTTTGTCAGACGAACGTGAGGCGACTTTCGAGCTTGATAGCCTGAACATGCCCGGAGACAAGTGGTAAACCTCAGGAATTCAGGTTAGCACTTATCACTAAACAAACACCAGCAGTCAGCTTTGCTGGAAAATGAGGGTGTCGCGATCTTACGGCTGACAGTGTAATTGGCAAAATGTCATCTTCAGTCTTCATGCTTCGAGAAGCTCTCACCCACACTAATGGATACCCGACAGGCAGCCTACCACGCGGCAGGAACGGAAAGGCAGAGGAATCATTGGGCTATTGTGTAGTCACCGCTGTCTACAGTCTATTTCATATTCTATAGCCTATTTGAATCGAGGCAAAGATAGGCGAGAATACCCGCCTCGTGATACTTCTGCGTCCACCCTCCGCCGCGCGGTAGACTTCCTGTCGGATATCCCAACCAATACTTCGCACCGATTGGTCAACCTTTGAGGGAGTAGGCGACTGAAGTCGTGACATTATCTGAATTGTAGCCTTTTAGAGATCTAGTGCAACAATGATCCCTAGAAGGTGTGCATACATCATGGTTTGTGCAATGCAGCTGTTTCAGGGTGAATCGAATTAGATAGGTCTCTATGAACACTTCGGCGATGGCGAATGACTCATTATTCAGAAGACCGTAAACACAGTGGGAAAAGGGTTGCTCCTGCTTATTGACGGATATTTCAGGAACTTTGTCTGTAGTGGAACATTCCTCCGTCTTGCCGTCCACTGGAACCGTGAACTTTGCTGATGAGCAAAGTTGCTTTTTTGCCACCGTGCAGATCGGTCGACTGTCTTAGTTCCTGAAAATTCTTGGCCTGAACTAGGCCGAGATCATGATGCATCTGCTTCTCATCTAGCCTGAGTCTGTTATACTCCACTCTCTCAGCACTTGAACAATTTTGGAACTGTGCTGTCTAATAACCACTAGCTTAGCGAACGAAGAATGGTAATTTTCATATACTGTACATTTTACACTTCACCTGTATCACCTGTCGTCCCGTTGATCGTCGATTTGCTCGAGCGGGCGCCAGCAACGTCTCCATTCGTCCCTGTCGCGTGCTAGAGTGGTCCAGTGGATCCTCCTTGCTCGAGGGACACGAAGTCGTTCATTCCTTTCGTGAGAAGTCTGACCATCGGGCCGGCGGTCGTCCAGGTGTTCGTTTGACGTCCCGAGGGATCCAGTCGGTAACCGCTCTGGTCCAACGGTCATCGCAAAATCGCATGACGTGTCCGGCCCACCTTATCTTCGATTCCTTGGCGAAAACGGCAGCGTCCCTGATCTTCGATCGTTGGCGTAGTTCGGCACTCCGGATTCCCCTCTGCACTTGCGTGTATAGGGTTACTCCTAGCATCGTCCTCTCGACAGCGCGTTGGATAACGCTGACCGCATGCTCGTCCTGCCTGCGCAGAGTCCAAGTCTCTGAGGCGTAGGTTAGGGCAGGAAGGACAGCGGAATCGAAGAGGTGGGCACGGAGCCGGATGTTCTTCGTCTTCTTCACTACTCCCTCGATGTTCTTGTACGCTCCCCAAGCCGCTCGTTTCCTCCTGCTCAGCTCTGGAGCTAGATCGTTCATCATATTGATTTCCCGACCTAGGTACACGTAGCTGGAGCATTCGGTGATGTTCGTTCCGTTGAGCGTGAATGGGGCATCAGGAACCAATCCGTTTCTCATAAACATCGTCTTCGTTAGGTTCAGCTGTAGACCAACCTTACAGGCGCAGTCGAAATCAGCCAGCATTCGCTCCGCTTGCTCGATGTTCGGCGTTATAAGAACGATGTCGTCAGCAAAACGAAGGTGGTGTAGTTGCCGGCCGTCGACCTTCACTCCCATGTCTTCCCATTCCAGTTGACGCATGACGTTCTCGAGAGCGGCGCTGAAGAGTTTGGGCGAGATGGTGTCGCCCTGTCGAACCCCTCTCTTGACGTCGATGATGACCTCCTTGTAGAATGGTGAGATTCTGGTCGTAAAGTTGCTGTAGAGCTCACGAAGAATCTTGATGTACTGAGTAGGGACGCCCTGGTTGCCCAAGGCTTCTGTCTCCACAGAGTCGAAGGCCTTCTTCAAGTCGATGAACGTGAGACAAAGCGGCATCTTGTACTCTCGTGAAACTTCAATGAGTCTTGTAACCGTGTGGATATGGTCGATCGTGCTGAACCCTCTTCGAAACCCTGCTTGCTCGCATGGCTGTCCTTCATCTAGTATTCTGCCGATCCTGTTAAGGATGACTCGAGTGAATAGCTTGTAGATTACAGACAGCAGGCAGATTGGGCGATAGTTGCCAATGTCGTCCAGGTCTCCCTTCTTGTACAGCAACACGGTCCTGCTGGTTTTCCACGGAGTGGGTACCTTGCATTCCGACAGGTAGCGCGTGAAGAGTCGAGCCAGAGTTTTGATGATAACTGGCGGTGCATTCTTCAGATGTTCCGGTTTGACCCTGTCGAGACCGGGTGCTGTACGATTCTTCACCGACTTGATGGCGTGTCGGACTTCGGAAGAGAGAACTGAGGGGACGACGTATCCATCCTGTTGCAGTTGATAAGTGGGCAGATGGACATGGCTATCGAAGAGATCCGAGTAGAAGTCGTGGATGACTTTCTCCATTGCCCTTCGGGATGCAGTAACTGTTCCATCCGGACGTCGGAGGCAGGTCATCTTGGTCTTGTAGCTGGCAAAGCTTCGGCGGGCATTGCGGATGCTCCTGCCAGCCTCGCTTCCCTTGCGAATTTCCCGCTCCTCCAGCCTCTGCTGCTTCAGCTAATACTGCTGCTCTTCGCTCCTTGAGATCTTCCTTTATCGCCTCTCTGCATAGCTTCGCAAGCTCGGACGTGAGTTGGTGATTGCCTGCAGCTCGTGCGGCTCCACGTTGGCGAATCAGCTCGAGAGTTTCCGTAGACAGACGTCCTTTGGTGACTTGTAAACTCTCTGCCTTCCTGCCACTCTCGTGAAGGTGTTCAACGAGCCGATGATATTCCTCGTCGATGTTCTCGATAACGGAATCCTCCCATAAGCTGACAAGAGAAGTGAAGTGATCCCAGTTGATGACTGTCCTGGGGCTTCGCTTCCTGAACTTCGAGGCTCTCTCAACACGCATCGAAAAGTGGAACTTTGCGCGGAGGAGACGATGGTCCGATCCCGTGTAGAACTTCGGAACAACAGCGACGTCGGTCAGGCAAAACCTTCGATTGAAGATGATGTGGTCTATCTCGTTATGGAACTGTCCATCAGGTGACTCCCAAGTCCAACGAAGGTGAGAGGGCTTCTGGAACTGCGAGTTACCATGGATGGTGTTGGTCGACATGATAAACTCAGACAGTCTTTCGCCCTGCTCATTCCAATCCATTCCGTGAGTACCGATGTGAAGTTCTTCAGCCGTTCTTCTCGGGCCAATCTTGGCGTTGAAGTCGCCGACGATGACCTTGAAGAAGGTATGATCTTCCTTGTAGAACTTCTCCAATTCCATATAAAATGCTTCGTGTTCCTTCCTCGTCGTAGCTGGATGTTGGTGCGTAGGCGACGAAGATTGTCAAAGCAGGAGTTGAACCACATCTTCTCAATCTCAAACGTCCGATTCGGGTCGTAAGGCTTTCGTACGAATCGATGTTTATGGCCAAGTGCGTGTTGACGAGGACACCCCTCAGCCATGGGGACCCACAAAAAACTGTCGTGCATTTCTGGACGCATCCCCCTTGGTCGCGAAGACTAGGTCATCGAAAAGGGTAGGTACGCAGAGTTTCGAGTTCCATCCCCCGGCCAGGGTTCACCGCACCCGCTCCCAAATCTTCACCTGAACTGACTACAGAGACTGGACCACACGTAAGCTGCGATTAAAATCGTTGATTCATATTGGGAGATCGAAGGTACACTGATTGTCGAAATATATCACGATGAAAACGTGGGGGCATTATCTAGAGATGATGGTGGCAAAACTCGAATTGCCTAAGAGAATCATTTGTAAATGTATCTCCGCGAATCGACCAACAATTAGCACTTACGTGATTAGTTATATGTGATGTCCATTACCAGCCAACAAACGTGGCGTACGCGAATCATGGATGGAATATCATGTGACATTCGGCAAAAATTCCACAGTACACTTACGAGGGAGCTGACAGTTGAAAAATCAGTGTAGCCGAGATTTCAGGGCAGATGGAACACTCATTGCCAAGTTTTACGTTACTCAAATTTTGACAAGGCGTCTGCAGGTTGTTGAAGGATTGAGGCGTGATAGGGGAGGGATACCGAAAAAGTAATGAATTAAAACACATGTAAGTGCGTATGTCACGGCGATGTTTTTGGTGATTTTGCTGTATTACAGGATGTTGGAAGTTTTGTGTAATTGGGATAGTGATAGGAGAACAGTGAATTATGTTCGCACCCCCATCTAATCCATTAGAGCAGAATGGGTCCTCCCATGTGCCTAAAGCACATGCAATAAATAAATAAATTAATAATAAATGGGTGAAACTGTTGCGGCAGATCGACCACGGCCATAAGGACTCTAAACCTCAGCTACTTCCTTCAGTGGTTGATGTACCCGATTCAACTTGCCACATTGTCCAATTATTCCAGCTCCGCCTTTCTCCTCCTCCCCGTGACGTCTGGCCCTGCCCATGAGGAACGTAAGGTTTAATTGGTGATCGAGATTCGGTCGGAGATTCGAAGTCCGGATTTTACGCGTGATAAGTGACCGCTTGTTACTCCTGCGCCCCGCCCTCTTCTATGGTAGATTGTATGAGTGAATCAGGAAGTAGCTCGTAGATGATGGCCAACTCCTTTTAATGTCACAAAACAATCTTCGGGGACTTGGAAACATTTTTTGTAGAGACATTTAAAATTTTAGGACAATGGAAGTAGAGGATCCATCGTTGCTTTTCAGCAATCATCCTACACACAAAGACACGATTCTCACAAGGGGTCCACACCGCTTCTCACTCCGGAACAGTCTGTCTTCTAGGAGCGAGGCATTCGTTCTCCCACCGTTCGTTGCCGAATAAGTCTCTGATGGTGGTCGTGCATAGGTTGATGATGTGATTATAGCTTTTTGATTGAATAATCTTGCTATCGAGAGGTTTTCAATGTCTTTTCGAATGCTCTGATAGTCACCTCAGTTTGATTCTCAGAGAGTGGGAGAGACCAAGGCAACAAGATACTATCGCCACGTCAGTTTTTCACCCATTGAGCGCTTCCTGATCGGGCTATCTTCACGATCAGGAATGTAGTGAAGCGTGCACATAGTTTTCAAGCCCGACGTTTTTTTCGTCCTTTCGTGTTTCTGAGCTAGCAAGATAGTCAGTGACACGATTGCGACTATTTGTTTCTTTGGTGAGTCACCCGCGTTCGCCAGGCTCTTTTTTTCAAGCGCGCATCTTGGCATGGTTTCAGATTCATTCCCTTTTTTCACATTCACTAGCCAATTTTAATATGCCCAAGGGTCATTCCAGATTTGCTCATGAAATTAACCCTTTCCGGACCGCCTGACACACATGGTGTGTCAGGAACTTCAAGAGCTGATTTTTCCAAGAGTTTGGTTTTTCGATAAAATATTTTATGTTGTTACATACCTATGTAACAGACTCATGCCATATGTATGAAAAAACCTAGACTTTAGGTTTAATCTAGGTTCTAAAATAACCAAAGAGTAAATGGACTTCCACTTTGGGCTCAAAGAAAACAGTTGTAGTTCGCTTGAAAACACTTAAAAACGAAGAATTTGTGAAATATCCTGCTCGTCGTATCTGATTCTTATGGATCCAATCGTTTTGGGCACGTTCTACTCCCTTTTTCTCCATACCAACTTATTTTGAACAATTTTCGTCCCTTCCTCCCTTTTTATGGCCCTTTCCCTTTTTTTGCAAAACAGTTTTCTGTCAAATTAATCTTATATATTCTTCGAGACATGACAAAGACATAAACGAGACAAAATAATGGCTTTAGTGGGAATACAGATTAAATATATGATATTTATGCTTGCCGCGCAGCATGCGGCCGTGAGCGCAAAAAGTGCGCGGTCCGGAAAGGGTTAAAATACAGCATATCATGGTGCAATAATCAGATCAAGGACTCCCTTCAACTCTCTTACACAAAATTGAATCTCCCTCAGGTATCAGCAAAACCTTCGAGAGCCGAGGCAGCGTTATGGTTGTCACGGGCTTGCAAAAACGTTATTTTAACGCAAAGTCGATTTAATCGATTGCACTGACACATATAAATTCGCGATACAGAGCGATATGGTTTTGCCCGTCCATTTGTGTGCTTTTCTCTCCCCGGGGTCTTTCCACCTGCCTCTCCTTGAAAATTGATTTTTCCAGATTCATCGGAGATCACCGCAATGAGTGCCGACACAGAAATTCAGCGCCTTGCACAGTTACACAAGGATACTCGAGGTCAGCGTTCACGCATTTTGCTGCTATGAAAAACTCATTCTTGTTTCTGAGCTATTTACCATAAGAACAGCCTAAAAGATATCAGTTAGTTGATGTCTTCATTTATGTCATTGATTTATTTGATTAGTACATTTTTTGACTCCTTTCGTAGGCCTTTATTTCTAAGGCATGCCCCCGTATTTTGCTATAGCGCCTAATTTCATATTATTTGCTGAGGATACTTTCTGGATTAGTGAATGAACCAACATCCTTGTTTCATGTTCATACCTTTCTTTATAAATTTTGTATTCAAAAGCTGGGAATCTCTGTCGATGTAATCGTGGTTCTTATCATTGCTGCCAGCTGCAGAGGGAATTATTCGATAAGCAACTACGCTGTTTTGCTCTACCTGTATACCTTCGCCCCTCTTGTTACTCCAAATTTTCCCATCAATAGATTTTCCATATTTTTCCCATTTCCCTTTTTGTCCAATAAATTCTGGAATACAGTTTGCCTGTTTGTATGTGTTTCTTTTTTCGCGATGATTACCGTCCCAAATGATTATTTCATTGAGTGTTCACTCATTTTCATTTTTTCCGTCTTTTTTTTCTCGTTTCCTGACGAAATTTCTCCTGTCATCACTCTTATCTGTTCTATATTCATGTCTTTTTCTATGTTCACGAGCATGGAAATCAAGGTAAGAACAACTATGAGGGAATTTCTCAATTACGACACAAAGCGCCCCAATAGATCGTTTTCTTCCGTTCTACATCTAGCCCTCCATTTTTGCCTCTTTGTTCCTCATCAGTACCCCAAAATCGGCGAAAGTTTGGAAAAGGGCAGGATAGCATTAGAAACGGAGATGATTTCGGGTTTGAAAATTCTGGAACACTGTTGGTACAGGCCATTCAAAATCACACTCCTCAACACCGCCTTCTCCATCTATGGCACCCTCCCTCAATGAAGAACCATCAAACGGCGCCCAACTCTGATCGCCAATCCCATGGTTGATATCAGAGTATCCTACATTTACGAGACTTGTTTCAGTCACTTCAAGGATGCA